AATTCTGGGAGTTGAAGTCCACACACCTTAAAGTTGATAACTTGAGAAACACTTATCTTTATGTATAGAATTCATCCACCCCCAAGAATTCCCTTCATTTCCCGTCTTGCTTAACAGATGGGAAAGGATTTTGAGAAAAGTTTCCTAAAAGTTCTTTTTACTTTGATGCCAACTATTCTTCTATTACTCCATTTATTTGTGTTCATTTGGACACTGCCGGAACTAAGGGTTTTCCTCCCGCTCCAAAATATCTGTTACCCTATCAAAGGTAGGAAGACTGAGTCCTAACTGTTTTAAACTTTCCATAGACTGAGTCCTTTCTATTGTAAGGCCTTCTGGCTCCCCGTTTACTATTTTCCTTGACATTTTGGCACACCGCAAGGAGTTGCATTCTCCCATCACGTCCGTGGTCCCTCAGCCTGCTATAACTCCTCACTGAATGCGGAGGCAGAAGAGAATTACGCAGCTACGGCGAGTTGTTTAGAGAAAGGGCGGGAGAAGATGTTGGTAAATAAATCCACGCACGGGTGATGAAATGGGCTTTGCATTTTTCAGCCGTAGTAAACCTTGTAAACCGCGGCTCTTCCCTCCACAAACAAAACGTCCCATTCTGTATATGCCATTGTATTAATTTTTGAAAACAAGAAAGCTGGGTTTTCTAAGGAACGTCCTTTCAACTTCACGAAAACGAAAACTAAAAGCATTCGGGAATTCTCCCCCCGCCGGCCGCAGAAAATTTCCCTGACGTCACCACCTCCTTCGCCCCCATCCTTGCGCCTTCGCGTGCGTTCTCGCTCTCAAACTGGCCACGCCCCGGCCATAAACGTCACAAGGCAATGACACTCCAGTATCTATATAAAGGGTCCGCGGCTTTCCCCGAACTCTGAAACATTCCGTTCTAATCGGTGAAGGAAGAGCAAAGGTCATTCTCGATAGAGGAAATGGTTCGCGCCGAGGAGAGCTCCTGTTTTGCAAAGCCTACCGTCCGGTCGCTCATTCGCGTCTATCCCGCAGTTACATGTTGGAGCGAGTTTATTACTGGCTAAAAATCCAGAGGTAAGAGGAGCAAAGCATTAGACCTTTCACTTCCCCAGGGGGCGGGGAGAGACCCGGGGAGGCCCCTGCCCCCGGATTTGTTTGCCCCCCTGGCCTCTGGAGGTCGTCTCTGCTCAGCCGCTCGATCGCCTGCTCATTCCCGGCAAATGCGTGTTTCCAAACCTTCGCTTCCTTCTCGCTGACTCCCCGCCCACCCATCTCCGGGCTTTTGTTTCTCAGATGCTTGTAGTCTTAGGTGCTCCCCGGCGGCACGCCTGTTTTCAGAGGATCCCTGGTTCTCCGAACTCGGGCCAGGTGTCCCGGCTTGGCATGAGGTTTCCCTGCCACCTCCGCCCTCTCGATTTCCTTCCCAGGCGAGCATCCATCTCTCTCCCAGACATCCACCCAAACTGTCCGCCCTTTTAATTGTTGGTAAGCCTCCCTCTCGCTTCGTGCGGTTCTCAGAACTGTTTTTCCTCCGTGGGCATCTTATCACGACGTGGTGGGCTGCCTTCCTGCAGTCCTGTGCCCCCGCCCAAAGCCTTTGGAACAGCTTTAAATGTTCTTTGCCTTTGCCCTCCCCCTAGAGCGGTAACGTGCTGTATTTTTGCTGTGAGCCTTCAGGAAGGGGCTTTGTATACCATTCTCTTCTCTAAATTGTGGGTCTCTCTTTCCAGGCAAGATGAACCTTTCATGTCTTTTCTGTGGTTCTCCAAAGGCTAGGATGGCTTTCCCCAACTTGGTGGCTTCCAGAAGTGTTAATTGAGATTCCTCATCCGGGAGATATTCCTCATCTAGAGGAAGACTTGCTGTAGAGTAGGAGCCTTTATTTTACTCTCTGGGGTCTCTTTTCTCCCTTCCCTCCCCTTTCTCTGTCCCCACTGACCAAAGTACGTTAGCCTCCTCTTCCTGGCTAGGCTTTCCATTATACCAGCCACCCATCCTGTTGCTGCCCCCAAATGCTACTGCTTGCTATCTGCCAAATGCTTGTTAGGAAACTCTATCTGATCTTCCTTACTCTTCTCTTTCCAAAGGAACCAGGCGTCCTCAGGAAAGACCACCTTACAATTCCCTTTACTGCTCTCTTTCCATAATATTACTCTACATCCCATTAGGATCTTCTCACTTCTAGTCTTGGAGAATCTAAGCTGTTCGTACTTTGATTTGGTAATTTCCTGTGTCCCTCCCCCCGCAGTAACTTCTGATCATTAAAATCTTCCAGCTGTCAAAAAATATTTCAGTACCAAACATTTGCAATCCCTTATGTTCTTTTTCTTTTTGCATATAATTCATTCAGAATTCATACAGTGAATATTCTCTTCCCCTCCTCCCCTCCTCCCCCCCCCTTCCAGACCTAACCTGTTGTTGGTCAGAAGGGTTGTCTCTCCTCCTCTCTTCCCGGCAGCTGCACACTCAGCATCCAGACTCTGTGTGTCTGTGTGTGTGTGTGTCTGTGTGTGTGTGGTTCCCCCCTTTCTTCTTCCGGACTGGGGTGTTGCCAGCGTTCCAGGGGCACTTGCTTCAACTTGTCTGGGGCGCGCCCTGAATTAATTCAGCCTACACACCTCAACCAGTGAAACCATCCCTAAGAAAGCTGGGAGATGAACTGCAGTACAGGTAGGGGGCAGAAGGAATTGTGCTGGAAGTTGGGAGTCAGGAACCTAAGAATGCTGGCTTCCAGCCTCTTCCCTTCCCCGTGCCTCCACTTGCCAGCTCTTGTTCCTATTTCTGAAAGCTTATTCTTGGTTGGCCTTTGCTGAAAAAAAACAGATTAGCAAAGGAACAGGATGCCTTTGGAGGGAATTTGCTCCACTTTGATTTCCCAAAGAATGCTTGAGTTGTGATTTTCCAAACACCAGAACCTGTTCTCCTTCAGGGCTTCAGTTGGGTTTGAGGCTTAGTATATGAATCTGATACCAGGAACAGGACTTAGTAAAGCAAGCATTGGGTGCCTTTGTTTTCCCACTGAATATATAAAAGTTATTCTTGCAGACTTTGCATTAAAATAATATCTCATGCATTTTGGCAATATTAAAAATTATTAAAAGCCCTGTCAGAATGCCAGTTATTTCTCTGGACCAACTAAGGTGTTTTAACCAGAATAGCTTAAGCTGGTGGAAAACCTGTGGTTTTCCAAATTTCTTGAACAGCAATGCTCAGAAACCCTGGTTAGTGTTGAGGGATGCTGGGAGTTATAGACCAGAACAGAATGAAATAAGCTCCCCATTCATGGTTTAGAGCTTGATTTCAATCACAGCATGACACCTTTACTTACTGGGTTCACATAAAGAATCATCTTTAGGAAAGATGTCAAAATGTGTATTTTTACAAACTGGTCCATTACATTATTTCTTCTGTTAATTGGTGTTTTGATGTATTCTAAAATGGCTTCATTCTTCTTGTCTTTATTTTTTAATGGCTTCCAGCAGAAAAAATAGAAAATAATAATAAATGAAAATGTTTGGTAGAAGGAACTGTATGCAAATAGTAGTATATGCTCTCTGCATGTAGAAAATGCTGAGTTCAGCCCTAAGCTTCTGTATTGTTAAAAAAAGTTTTAGTTAGCAGATTTTGGGAAAGAACTGTATACGAAAGAAACCAAGGACAGACAGTGCTAGATTTGATGCACAAATTAGACCTCACGTAAAATAGTTCGTTATAGTCCAGAAAAGCAAAGAATCTTGAGTTCATAGAAGCCCTCCGTGTTCTCATTCTAAATTCTAATGTTGATTGTTTCTTTTCAGCTTTAAAATGCCTCCTTGTATCATGTCCAGCCAGTTCACTTCACACTTTGAAGCCCGAAATATTTTCCTCAATAGTTGTTATCCCTTTGGATCTGGAATGGCAAGAATTCTACCTCCTGAACCAGTCAGCTCCACCCCTGCTGGCAAATTTACAGTTCTTGGACATATGGCCCAGATCACTATGGTCTGGTTACGAAGATTTTTATACTTTTGGCAGCATTTCCCTGCAAACCTGGTGAAGATTGTCTTGATGGGCATTGCCAGAAGGGCAGTGCCCGTCTTAGAGAAAATGAAATTAAAGAAGGCTGGAGAACTTAAAAGAAATGAAAATGACACTGAGAAGAAGATAGGGAAAGGCAGCTGTCTAGAAAATCATTCTCTGAAGAGTCATAAAAACTACCTTTCGGAGGAAAGTTTGGTTATGGAAGGCTATTTTGGAGAAGGCATTGAACAACCTTTGATTAATTCAAGCAACATTACAATGAATAACATGTATTTGGAAAAGGATGGGATTTCTGAGTTGTGTTTAATAAGTCCTACTATAATATTGGATTTGGGAAATAATTGGGAAAATTCTTCAGGAAAAGACATAGAATGTGTGATTATAAAAAGTCCTGGACATGTTCCCCCTAAGTTGTTGGATGATACTTACCATCCTGAAATCTTTACAAAAGGCTTGGACTTCTGTGAATATTTTGAAAAGACTTTGGACTGTTTCAATCGTAATGGAAAGCTAAATTTTGATAAGGGCCTTGGTCAAATTTTGGAAACTACCGTAGTTCCCCAGGAACTGGAAAAGAACATGAAATCTAATCAGAATCCAGTAACATGTGGAGAACAAAGCTTAACATGTTCACTTGATTCTTCAAAGGATGAAGAACAGCCAGAAATGAACAGGAAGAGTAGAGAGAATGAAGATACATACAGCATGGAATCCCCTACCATCCCCAGTACTTTCCAAAGTCCCTTGGTTCTCTCCTTATTCTATAGTCCATTAGAAGAGGAGGAGGACAACAATGATGACAATTCAGAAGACTGGTGGAGTGAGGATGAGATGGAAGAGAGTGGTCAGGACAAAACTTACTCTGATGGCAATAATTCAGGAGAAATAGAGGACTGTCTGGAAGTAGAAGATGACTCTGTACACCAGGTTGTTTTTGAGAATCTCTGTGGAGCTCTATCCATGGACAATGATCACTTCCACCCACTCTGTTTTTCCAAACCCATTCGGGCCCTCGAAGACCACACCACTGCTTCACTGAAGCCCAAGAACCTTCAAGAAACTGTAGTTTCTTCTTATCTGACAAGGACCAATTCTAAACTTGAAGAATTGTGTCATCTCCCAAAGCAGTCATGGCCCAGAGAGGACCAAAAAGTTGCAAGTAATCAGGAGACCCACAGATGCTACCAACCAAGTCCCAGGAAAAATACTTCTCCCATCCCTGCAGAAATACCACTAGTTTTGCAGCAGGAAATCCAGGTGAAAAAGAAGGTGAGCATCTTAAAATATTTGTGTGTGTTCTTTGGATGAAATTGGAATGAGGATTTTCAAAATCCACCTTTGTTTTGTTTTTTGTGGCTCCATAATTAGGAATCATGAAAGCTTGTATTTCTGTGCTTTGCTGTGACTGATTTAAATTTAGACTTGCCCATTTGATTATGTTTGAAGAAATATTCATGCTTTTATTTTAACTATTTTCACCATGGTGATGAAGAATAGAGATAGAATGCATAGTACTGCTGAGTTGTTGCTGTTGTATTTGAAGTAGTAATGGGCAAAGCTGTATCAGTTAAATCTACACCTTCTCAGTTTCCAGAGGAATATTTCTTGTAGAGGTTAAAAACCATTTTTTCTCCATTAATTAATTAATTTAATATGCCACCTGACTCCCAGTGATTCTGGATAGTTTATGAAATGTTAAAAAAAAATCAAGAAAACAACATAAAAAAGAGCAAAGATGGTAAAGATAACTAACCCAGATGGGAACAAAGAAAAAGGGGCTTTAGTCATACTTGCCAAAGGCCTGGGCAAAGAGCCAGGTCTTCAGAGCCCTTTGAAACATCAGTAGGGTGGGAACCATTTGGATCTTGGGGGAACTCATTCCAGAAGGTAGGCGCTGCTACAGAGAAGACATGCTTCGGGGGTCCTGATCAATGACATCGTTTAACTGAAGGAACCTGGAGCACGCCAACCCTGCCAGATCGGATTGGTCAGGCAGATATTATGGGAGACAGACGGCCCCTCAAGTAACCAGGCCCTATGCTGTGTGGCCCATTCGATTGGAAATAAATATAGTAATCATTAAGGTGTTCTGTATTTTATGTGTTGGGGGCATAGTGGAGGAAAAGGTGAGCTGTAGTCTGTAATTGAAGAGATATTAGAATAAAGGCAGATTACCTGAGGGGCAACGGGAAGTATTTAGCATTCTCAGAATGCCTTTCCCATCCAATAATTTCAGACAATTGAGCTCTGAGTGAGCAGACGTCTGTGGGAAAGAAAATAGGGAAAAGATTTATGTGATGTGACAGTCATGCTTAATTTTTAGTCATCAGATCAGTGCCCGAATTAGGAAGAAATGGAAGTCTTGAGTCATATTTTTTAAGTTTTACAAGTTACACATTCACCCCACTCCCCAAACCATGTAAAAAGGGAAGCCTTCTTCCAAAGCCTTATCTTTTACAGTATGTTAGAGTCCTCAGCCTTCTGCTTTTTCTCACCCCCAGTCCACATCGACACCACTACTGTATGGAATTGATTTTTGATTTGTCATCTTTAGCTCTCTTCTACCCCACCCCTGAAACCTTGGCAATTCTAAAATATTTAGCCCTGGCTATGAATCACAAGACTATCTGAAAGGAAAGAAATGATGTAAGATTAGGACATTTCCTAGTCCAGCAGACTCATTTCCCCTCTTCCCTTTAAGAGATTGCCTATTGCAAATTAAAAATAAAGGTCCTTAGCTTTCTGTTTTCTACTTCCTTTTGCCTTACCAGCAGTTCCACACTAGTGTGCCAAGCCAAGAGAGAGATGCAGAATCTGTCCTTATTTAGCCACCCTAAATGCACAAACTCTGTGGTGAAGAGTATGAAAAACAGAGCAAGCGCAGAAGGCAGACAGTTTTATTTGAACTAAGACTTGGCCTCTGTTTTTAAATCATTTTTGAAAGGTGGAGATTGTGGGTGGAAAATAGCATCTCTTTTATTAAGGGAAAAGTTAAAAAGTCAGTCAACCACACTTAGATACAGACATGGGGAGTGATCAGGCTTGGGCACTAATTGGGAAGGATGGTGGTTACCTTTTAGCCCTCCTGACCTCATGGGGCTGTTGTGAGAGTGAAATGAGAGGAACCTTAGGTTTGCACCGCTCCCAGAAAAAATATGGAATATAGCTCTAATCTCAAATTACAGGAAGAATAAAATGAAATGAAAAGGCCTGGTACTGCTAAGAAGAAACAGTGTCAGAGCTGTTGTGAAACCACCTAAAATGAGTAAGATGTTTTCTTCCCTGCTGTAAGACGCCAAGGGAGTATACAAAATACTCTTGCCTTCAGTTGTATCCTCACAGCAACCCTGTGAAATAGGTTGGAGTGAGAGATGATTGGCCTAAAGTCACCTAGTGAGTTCCACTCTTAAAGGTGGTTTTGAACCTGGGTCTCCCCAAGTGTCTGTCCAACCATTCTTATATCTAAAAAAGTAGGTGTGGCATAATGTAATTGTCTTTATATTTGATTTATAGCAACAAACACCCTCCTAGAAATGTTGGCCTGAAAATCTCACATCATCTTTCCTCAATTCATAGGTCCGATTCTCCCCAGTGGTCACTATCCACCCACTGGTGGTCTGGGATTATGCTTCTCGGGCTGCCCGTCGGGGCCCATGGGAGGAAATGGCTCGTGACCGCTGCCGCTTCCACCGAAGGATTGCTCAAGTGGCAGCCATCTTGGAGCCTTGCCTGGCAGTGGATCATCGGGACAAAGTCTGGAAGAAGATCCATGAAGTTCCAGTGTCTCTTCTGGAGGAAGCTGCTGACAGCGTGCCCTTCTGTTCCAGTTCTACCAGAAAAGAGGAGTTGGGACTCTAGAGTTAGGAATGAAAAGCTTCTTCAAGATAAATGACAATTGGTGTGCAGATAGAAGTTGAGGATTCTGCGGGAACTCTGGTCCAGGCTTTCCAGCACTAAAGGGGAAGAATGCTGCTTTTGCTCTTCTTCCATTTGGTGTTTGAAAGCATGCAGCAAACCAGAACCTCATTGTCCATAAGTTTGAAGCAATTTCAAACTGGTGTGTCTTGGGACACAGTGTAGTGAGGTTTAGTCCAGGCAAAACTATCAGTGAAAGTGCTCTGGGTGAGATAAGAATGTTGGATGAGTGTTGACTATGTGGGGGGATAACTTGAGAGAAAACATCAAGGCTCCTGTTCTCTGAATAAATGCAATCCTAGGTTGCTACTACTACTACCTCTTTTGGTTTGGAAGGTGATGAAACATGGCCATTGTAATGAATATATGTGGGAAATAATTGCTTTTAATTACAATGTAGGTACTATTGCAGCTGCATTTCACAGGCATTACTTGTTGTTGAAATGGCCAAGTGAGATGGAAGGGCTCCATCCAACCTGGTAGCCTTCTGAATCTTTTGGATCACAAATCCCATGATTCCCAGTCAATCTGGCTTATTGTGGAGCTGGGATTTGAACATTTTATTGGAGGGGCAGCTTGAAGGTTATTGGGAAAAATCTATTGCTAGACAAACAGTTGAAAAGATCAGTCAAGGTCTGGTTCATATTTCTTCACCTCTGTTGTCTGATCACATGGCTAGGCCCCTTCATATGGATCAGTCAGAGGGCAAGAATCTGGATCCAGATTTTGACAATATAGACTTTGTATGTTTCGGTATCCTGTTTCAACCAAGGGTTGGTTTGCCTGCTTTTGTATTTGCCAGTTCTCTGGTAGATTGTATACATTTTAGTTGAAGAAAAATATTTTTGAGAGATTTATACTAATTTATATTAAATTGTTCCTTTGAACTCCCTGATATGTCTTGAATATATAATAATTGCTTGATTACTGAATTGTGATAATTATAATTATTTTTAAAGAATGTATGTCTTCATTATTTTCTTGATACTTGTGATAGATGGTAATTTAAGAATGTAAGAAAATCCATTTGGCATCAAGGTAGAAACCTAGCCACATCTGTTATCTTCTGTAGTAATAAGAATGATTTTGGAAAACCCACAAACCCACAAAGGATTTAAGCACAATATCCTGGTTATATTCTGCACCATCTGGTATAAGGTATGTCATGCATAAGGATCATTGATAATTTTATTGTCCAGGAATCTGATAGATCACCCTTTAAAAGACTGATTCCCAATCTTTTTCATTATATAAATGACATTATTGCCATTAAAAGCTTTTGTGGATTACAACATCCACTAAGAATTGGTAACATGATGCCCCCATAAGGATCATAGCAGATGTGATTCTGCTAGGAGGGTTAATGGAACCCCAAATATTAAATAATTGTTTAATAAATTTAGATGGCCAGAAGAAGATTGGCAGATGTTGCCAGATATTAGTGTTCTTGCTCAAGCCTAACATGCTGGAATTTTCAGCACAACCTCTCACCTTCTTTTGTCAGATCTAACTCCTCCCCTTCTGCACCACCCACTTGTTATTTAACATACTGGTGATTTATCCATATGTGGTACGACCAAAATATTTTGTTTTTCCTGTCCTTAATCTCCATCTTCATTGGATAACCCCAGTTCATGATAACAGCAGTGCTCTCTATAAAGCTACATTCATAGATTCTCTGCAACCATGATTATTTGAAGAAAATATATTTGCCTAGATTTATGCAGCATGTTAAACCACAACAGTGGTTTACAAAGCCCAGTGGGTTTATGTAGCACTCTGACCCAAAACCAAACCAATCAAAACCAGCCAAGACCTCTTATGGCTGACATAATGTGATGGGCAAACCAGATCACAGTGTGAGTTTGCTGGTGTAGTAGCTTAGTATACCCACACCAACCTTGGTCACTTCCAGATTTGCAAACTTCAATCCTTGATGTTCTCAGCAGTAGCTATGCTGGCTGGGGAATTCTAAGAATTGAAGACCGCATATGTGGAAGTAGCAGAGACTGAGAAATGATGGTTATGCAAGCAGCCTTCCAGGGCATGATAAGATTCTTTTCCCAGCCTACCTGGAGGTGTTGGGGACTGAAACTGGGAATTTCTCCAGGCTGTTTTCAGAGCAAAGGTCCTCCCCCACCCATCCAGCTTCCAAAAATGAATTGCATCTGCAAGTGTATTTCTAGGGCTGTACTAAAATTGGTGTAAATACTAATTTGGTATATTCAGATCTGCCAGTTGAAGAGAGGCTGCTAGAGACACTCAGCTAATATCTGGATTGTTAGATTATTTGAGGCTCCGGCGGGTTCTTTTTTCCCTCTCAAAACTTTTACACTTGGATTTAAAAAAATATGCTTTTTAAGTGGTGGGTAGGTCATTTTTTGTTCAGCTTGTGTGTTGATTCTCCCTATGAACTGCCCCTAGAACTAATTGGTGGAAGACATATCACGCAAGACATAAATAATGGCAACTGGATATAACAAGAAAGGTATTTCCTGTCTTTTGCCAGTTTGCTTCTCACATGGACACAGCTGATTTTATAGGTGTAAATTGAGTATTTGGGAGAAGCAATCGGCGTAAAGGAACCCGAATCATTTCCACCAAAATGACTCGTGATAATGAACTGTGGAGTCTGGACCTTTTCATGCAACAGGAATGCAGGCTTACATACCAAGGGTGACTCACTCATCAGCATTAAAAATAACCTGAGCCAACGCCTGGTACAAATAGCTCTGAGGGACCATCCTAAAATAACTGAGATGGAAAAATATAAGAGTATTATTACAACTTTTATTAGGTAACCACCAGCGGGAGATAGACATTCATCCGTACTACAATATTAGTATTCCCCAGATATCTGGAGGCTTTTCAGATGAGCTTAGACTGCAACTCACAGAATCCCCCATGTTGGATAGAAGTTATGGGAACTGTAATTTAAAGTCATCTGGAAGGCTGATGACTGGGGAAAACTAATGTAACCCCACTGAAAGGAAGAAGTGAAAACAGCAATAAATTTGGACAAATCTACATACATACATATATATATATATACATACACACATACCAGTCACACTATATTCCCTTTCAGAGTAAGCAACATTATAGCAAGTAAGGAAAAGGAGTAATAAACAGCAAGCCAGAGGCATTGAAGACATGAAATAAGAGAAAATAAAAGGAAATATAATTAAATTTAGTTTAAACCGTCATTCACCATAACTCTCCACACTTTTCTGTCCTTGCAAACATTTTAGCTTTTAGTTTTCATATTTATATATTGGTTGTTAGCTTTTATTTTTTGTTGTTATAATCATCGCCCTTATTGTGTTTATGCTGTTTGCCACTCAGAGTCACACAATTTGATTTGGGCAGGCTTAGAAATCTTGAAATAAATAAATACATCACCATCATTATTGTGTGTTTATGCTGTATGCTGCCCAGAGTCACATGGTTTGAGCTTGGTGGCCTTATAAATCTTGAAATAAATAAAACCCTCACTTCTTCCATGCACATACACCAGTTCATATGTTGCCTTTGGTTCTTAAAATTTACCTCTTTCTCTTTCAGGGTCTCACCATCTCTGACTAATCCCAATTTCCTTTGTCTCCCCCTTCCTCTTAACCCACTTTACTTTCCCTTCATGGGGTAGTTTTGGGCCATGATCCTCATTCATTCTCTCCGTTTGAGCAAACTACTTTGCTGACTCATTTCCTTCAACCTGGCCATTCCATTTTGTATTCAGTGCCCATTCTTGACTCTTTCTCCTCTTGTATCGTCACACAAACTCTTTAAAGTAACTCATTCTTGCGTCATTCAATTTACTGTTTCTTCTGGCGTCCCACTTCTTACTCCATGTAATTAAGCAGAAGCACTTAATACACAGCTATGTGTGCTTCTTTTGACAAACCTTTGTTCCTTGCAACAGATTGCATACAGCATTTGGAAATTCTGCCTGTTTAAATGTTGTGTTATCATTGTAAGAACTCTTCCTCCCCTGCAATGAGCAGCATATAATAGAATTAAAAGGCTTGGACATAAAAATGGCTTAATGCCTTTCCTCTCCTGGGACCCTCCAAATGTGTTGGGACTATTAACTCCCATCAGCATTAGGCTAGTGATAATGGAGGTGTAGTATAAAATGCCAATGCTTCAAGACAGCACTGGGGGGGGGGGAAGATTAGTTTAATTCTTTATCTTATCAAGACAAGGGTTGATGTAATCTGGCATAATTTATTCAGGCACATCTCTGGTTAGCCCAATTATTTCATGTGAGAGATTTTTCTTCTCCTCAGCAGCCAGCTTGAAGGAACCCTTCACCCTACACCGTTTTCCTGATTTAAATTTCCTATACAACACTGCAAACAGCCACAGAGAACCAACAGGCATCCACATTATATACATCCTGTTGATTAGTTCTCTGTGGCTAATGCCACCTTTTCAATATTTGATCTGTGGAAATTAGAAACCCAATCCAAGCGGATCCAGCAGTGACAATACCGCAGTCAACGATTCAATCTCTTGTCAAAGGATCCATGGAATTATATAGGTCCAAAAGATTGTTGGTTCCACATTTTTTAAAGGGGGTAAGTGGGCCTTCCCAGGTAGCATCGTTTCTTCCTTGCTCTGAATAACCTTAGCCTCTGAGAAATCACAAGGGAAATGGATAATATCCTATGTCCTACTTCTTGCCACTGACTCAGAAGTGGTTGAATAGGCTGCAACCATAAAAGAATGATAAGCTTCTTAGGTCATTAGTAGGTTCCATGTGGATCTGTATCACCTCTGGTTTCAAATATACCTTAGAAAGGCAGGCATGTGTGTGTGTGTCTGCACACGCACATGGACCAGGTTTAGCTTTGTGGAAGTCCAGGAAGATAATAGGTCTGATTTAGCAAGTGACCAGCTCTAAGGCTTTTAGAGTTCAGAAGACTTTAAGTGAAAATACTAGAAATACTACATAAATAAGGAAATAGTTATAGTTTGAAACACAAGCTTCCTATGGCTCACTGTAGCCCTCTCAATCATTCTTAGATGTTGTTGAGCTCCTCTAACAAGTCCTAACTATGACTGGATTGTTGGAATGACTGTTGTAAGATATTTCTCAATTAAGCAAGTATTTTGCAGGTGATGTGACATAACGTCAGGTTTGAAATAACATCAGCTGCCCTATGGGAAGATGCTGTAGAGAAGTGTTTCTCAACCTTGGCAACTTTAAGATGGGTGGACTTCAACTCCCAGAATTCCCCAGCCAGCATGGGAGTTGAAGTCTACATATCTTAAAGTTGCCAAGGTTGAGAAACACTGCTGTGTAAGGAGGAGGAAGAGACATATCCACCTCACAGAAAGCTGAGTGGGATTCTCCCAATGTCCTGGACCACTGCCACCAACTGACCTTTGGGAAGGGTTCTAGAAATGGTTTCATGTTGGGCTTTAAATAATATATTTATTATTTAACATATATAAATATTATACACACATGCGTGCGCGCACACATTAAAATTAAAACTGTAATGTTAACTTTAAAAGTTTCACAATTAAAGTTTAAATAAACTATTTGAAAGTATTATTTCAATGTTCAAGAAAGCCAAGTTCATTTATTCAAAACATGCCATTGTTTCTACTGCTTGTAAGCCCTGTCGAAGAATTGGAATCAATAAAATAAGTTACAGGGTCAGAGGTGAATCGCCTCCCACCAATCTTCTTGAAGACATTCCAGAGATTCGAAGTTGAACCAATAGGGCAAGGCAGGGTTAGACAAAGGTTCTTTTAATCTCTCACACACTTGCATAATTACTTTTCCTGGATCATCTCTGTATTTTCCCTTATTTCAAAGGCTAGGCTTAACATATTTGGGCTGCACAAATCAGGACAACAGCTAGATGGCCGGAAAGAACTCTTCTTCTTCTACCCCTTTGCTACTGCCACCTAGCAATTATTTCAACTTATGCAACCTACATATGGAAAACCATTCAAAGCTGTAGGGTAGGAACCATTCTTAAAGCAAGCGGATACAAACTGTGCTTTTTAGGGCATTAGAATGATGTAGGTGGCCTAGGAATGTTGCACTCCCCGTACACCTCAGGAGCGGAGTGCATTATTCTCAGTTACTCCCACAACATTCACTTCCTCCATTGGGAGGAGCTGCATGTGAAAAGAAAGGAGGGGCAAAGACTTACTCATACAATATCACAGGCTCATGTTGATTGATTCGCAGCTGCTTCAAACTCCATCCTATAGCAGGATGTGATTGTTGGCAAGCCGCTGGCACTTTTTTCCAGAACCTGTAGGTGATTTTATAGTACTGCACCCACCCCCAGGTGTCTTAGCAGGTAGCAAAACTTGGCCCACTTTGTCTGTGCTTGGAAACAAAGCCCAGTTGTACCTGGTTGGTACTTCAACAGGAGACCTCCTAGGAATATGAAGGCCATTGGCTATCTCAACCTTATCTCAACCTTAGCAACTTGAAGATGGGTGGACTTTGACTCCCAGAATTCCCTAGCCAGCAGGGGTATAAGGTGGGTAAAGTGTTACAGAAGTTAAGATAGGAAGAAATGGGCTCTTTCTAACTCTTGTCTTCTGGACTAAAGGAAGCTGCGGTAAAATAGTACGAAGAAGAAATGTCAAGGACCATTCAGCTTAAATGCTCCTTTTCATATGATGGAGTAAGTTTTACAAACTCAGTAGGACATACTGCCAAGTATACAGACCGTGAAACAGTGTCACATACGAAGGGAGGATGGTGCACCAGGAAAAAAAAATGCAGAAAAGGCTTCAAGGGGTTCAATTTATTAAATAAAAGGACTCAAATTGTTTCAAAACAAAATCCAGCAGCTCTCAACACACATTTTGCAAAATGGTGCAATACTGTAATTCTATCATAAGAAGCCAATCGTGGATACAGAGGAAAGAGGGGAGAGCACAATACACTAGTTAAGAGGTATAATGTTCACTTATCTTCCCTTTTATTTACCCATAAGCATTTCTGAAATTGTAGGACAAAATTACCCGAGAATGTCAGGATGGCTAAAATTACCCGAGAATATCAGGATGGCCAAACTTTGCTTTCTTTCCTCTTTTGCCTACCCCATCCTTCTAAATAGCAAAGCTATCCTTATTATCTCCCCTAATTACTTCCCTCTGCCAAGGTATCCCCAAGAGAACCACAGCCATCTGTTTCGTAAAAAAGAGTCTGCTTGCTTGGAAAAAGTGGAGGAACAGGTGGAGACTGGGCTGGGGGTAGGACAACCAACAAGCCTTCTCCTTCTGTAAACAATGCCCTGAAAGGTCCCTCCTCCACTGTCCTGGGGTGAATTCTGATTCTGATGCCCTGACTATGAGAAAAGAAGAATACGCAGTCCCCTCTGTGTATGCCATAGCACTGTTCTATTGGACGGCAGCATCTGGGTGTGGTTGGTTCTGAAGAGCTTCTACTGGGTCTTTCTGAGCATCATGCTCTGGTGCTCCGGGGGATCCTGGATGGGACTGAGGTGGAGAAGCATGATCTGGAGAAAAGAGGAAAGAGTTACACCTCCTGCTGCAATTCCTTGGCCATCTGAAGAACCTTGTTCCTTCAAATACCTACTCATCCACAGGTCTGGGAGTTAAACCGACTCCTGAGGGATGGTACGTACTCCCTCTCTAGAAGCATCTTCTCAGATGCTACAGTGCTGGAGATGGTCTGGTGTTTGTAGCCTGAACTTAGTAAGGGTCAGGAAACAGATGGGCTTTCAGATGTTGATTAACTACAACATCTAGCAGTCCCAACTGTGATTGCAATGACGTAGCTCAGTAACAACTGTAGGAACACAATTTCCCATTTGAGTTCCTATCATTTCTATGATTTTATAAATTTGGTTTACTGGAGCCTGCACTGCCACCCTGTGGGATGATGTGCAACCAGCCTTCCCATAGTCACTGGGTGACCATTAGCTTTATCTCAACCCAAGCAAAGTTACAGGATTCTTGGATGAGTAAAACAACAGGTGGGCCCATCTTGAACATCTTAGAGGAAAAGTGGGTTGTAATTAAATCATAATAATTGTTTAAAGGGCAACAGTGCATGGCACAAGCTCTTTTAAATATATAAGACCAGCCAGCAACCTTCTGATGACCTCTTCCCCAGGACAGGAGAAGGGGGACACTAGACTGCTGCATGGTTAGTGTGATGTCCTGTGCAAGAGCTACGCTCCCACCTCTTCTTAGTGCCAGAATGAGGGGCAGAGAACCTGCTTCACCACCCAATTCAAGCATTAGCTAAAGCTAGAACAGTTCATGCCTGGCTTCCCCCCCAAAAGAGAAGGGTAAGGAGGCTTTTACAGTAAAGTTTGGCAGAAGGGCTGACTGATGGCAAAGCTTTATTCTTATGAAGAAGCACTTCTATCAACCAGTGAGGGAACCAACTTGCCTCCACTGTATCCCAACATTTTGGATGAAAATCCTACATTATGATTCTGATTCTCACATTCACTAAAAAAGGAAAGCAAAGCAAAACAAAACAAAACACCACAACCCTAGCCTTCACGAAACCAGGATTCTTCCAGACATTTGGGACTATAACCCCGATCATCCCAGCCTGCAGGACAAATAGTCTGGGCTGATACAGGTGATGGTCCTAAAGACCTGAAGAGATTGAAGGCAGATTCAGCTAAATTAAGCCAGAACAAGTGAAATCTGCAGTAAGACCGAAAATGGGATGATCCTTTTCTGGATACTCTTATCCTATTTTCCCTTTGCCCTGGTTTTCCACATTTTCCCTTGGCCAACCTGCACAGCCATACCAAACGCTTAGCTGTCTGAAGATCTTTTCCCATCTTAAAGGATTCTTTGACCCTCAAGGTTCATCTTAACAATCTTTGAATGACCCTTGGTATTTAACAAGGAAGGTGCAAATTTTGGGCTATATAAGAAAATTAAGCATTATTTGTATTATAAATTTTCCTAAACCTGGTGCTGCCAGATATATAGTCAGCTATAACTCCCGGCCAATTCAACATATCTGCAGGCACCACGTTGTGGAAAGCTGCTATGTGAGTTCCCACCACACCACTCATTTAAAAGGACTGGAACCATAACACTGTGCTTAAAAGTACACGAGGCAGGTAAAATAAAACAGGCCAGAGCAGATTATAGAACCTGGTTGACCTTAGCTGATCTTGAAAAGCTAAGGGGGGTTGGACCTTGCTAGTACTCTGATGGGAGAACACCAGGAAATTCCAGGAATGAAGGCTAGATTGAGAAGTTGAAAAAGAAAAAGGCAATGGCAACCCACGTCAACACTGTAGCGAAAAAAAATACAAAAGTACAAAAAAGTACAAGAACACTTCATGGAATATCCATGAAATCACCTGTTGCTTGGAACCTATAGAGGTCCATATTATTATATGTCATGGGCCTTTTAGTTTAGAGGTCTGTTATCTTATATGATGATGTCATACTTGATTGTAATATATTATTGTATCAATTGTTTTATTCTATGCCTATACCGAGTTGAGTTACAAACGCATAAGAAATAAAATTAATATGAACACTGGAACTCAGATCCAAAGTTGTAAGGTAAGGACTTTGTCTTTACTGACAGTGAAACAGCTTTAGGAAGGCACGTGCTCCTAACCCTTTTGAAGAAGCGCAGAATCCCGGCCTCCCATCTCTTTCCTCTCTCAAATGGGCTTGAACTGCCATCACTTCACAGAAATCCCAGCTCTCTGCCTCTTACCTGCTGGGGCCGCATGAGGTGGCTGGGCCTGGAACTTCAGTTCTCCCCCGGGGCCAACCTGGGGCACTTGCTCAAGTTGTTGTTGAGATTTTCTCTGTTCCATTTGAAGCACAACCTGGAAGGGGTGGGAATGTGGAAAGAACGCCATAAGGCACAAAGCCATCATTTTGCTTTTCAGCAGGCTAAACGTTTTGGCCCCACCTACTGTGATGGTATGTGAGAAAGGCTTTGGGAGACTGGGCCAAGAGACGCTGCCAAGGGAACGGTCTGATAAGAGACAGCACAGCCTGCAGCTAGAAAGTGGGCAGGGCAAGAGGCTTAGAAGGGACCCTCCCTAGTTTCTCAGGCTGTAAAGGAGACGGTGGGAGAACTGTACTTTCAGACTTGCAAAATTCCGTTAATGTAGCTTTACAGTAAAGTAGAATTAGCTTATCTGGTTGTGTTTCCTGTCTGGTCTACCTACTGAAGAGTCTCTGAGATCCACAGAAGTACTAGGGGGCTACCTGCACTCAGAGGTTGCCCATCCCTATTATAAACACTGGCTACAGATTGCAGCAAACAAAGAACCAGAATTGTAGGCCCCACCAGAGACCTGGCATGTTACAATGAGACATTAAGATTCAAGGGGAAAATTCCCCATGACCCAATTTACGAGCGGAGACCACACAATCTGTTTGAGCCAAGTTTATTGGAACAGCGCTGGGGACAGAATACGAGGTGCTGCCTACTTAAGGAGGGTTCAAGCAACCTTTATATAGGAGTATAATAAATGCTGACCAGCAATGATGTCAAATGTCAATCATCTCATTTTCAATCACATGGTTTAGATTTTCTGCTTATAGTAAAAATCCACAGTTCATAAAGTGGAGGTTGGCTTGGATCAGTTTTGGTGATTAGTTACTTCCTAGTTTCCATCTAAGAACACAAGTGCTGATTTAAGATAACTTGTGAGTCAGCATCTGTAAATGCCTAAGCGAGCTATTAAGGAGGTTTACTTGACTTCAGGAGCCTTGGTAGTTTGAAGGTTTTGGTTCAAGTACAATGGTACCTCGGGTTACAAACGCCTCTGTTAACGAACTTTTCGGGTTACGACCGGCTCCGGCCACAAAAATTTACCTCGGTTTGCGAACTCCGCCTCGGGGTAAGAGCAGGATACGCGGCCATTTTCCGCCCCCAACACGTGGTCCGCGGCCATTTTTCTGCCCGACACGTGGTCTGCGGCCATTTTTCTGCCCGACACGTGGTCTGCGGCCATTTTTCTGCCCGACACGTGGTCTGCGGCCATTTTTCTGCCCGACACGTGGTCTGCGGCCATTTTTCTGCCCGACACGTGGTCTGCGGCCATTTTTCTGCCCGACACGTGGTCTGCGGCCATTTTTCTGCCCGACACGTGGTCTGCGGCCATTTTTCTGCCCGACACGTGGTCTGCGGCCATTTTTCTGCCCGACACGTGGTCTGCGGCCATTTTTCTGCCCGACACGTGGTCTGCGGCCATTTTTCTGCCCGACACGTGGTCTGCGGCCATTTTTCTGCCCGACACGTGGTCTGCGGCCATTTTTCTGCCCGACACGTGGTCTGCGGCCATTTTTCTGCCCGACACGTGGTCTGCGGCCATTTTTCTGCCCGACACGTGGTCTGCGGCCATTTTTCTGCCCGACACGTGGTCTGCGGCCATTTTTCTGCCCGACACGTGGTCTGCGGCCATTTTTCTGCCCGACACGTGGTCTGCGGCCATTTTTCTGCCCGACACGTGGTCCGCGGCCATTTTCCGCCCGACACGTGGCCGTAGGGAGGGGGACTCTCCCTCCAAGCAATAGCCGCCTCCCTGTCGTCCACACCATAACAGATTAACGGTAATTACATTGAACCTTATGGGGAAATTTCGGGTTGCGACCAATTCGGGTTGCAGCCAGAGTCACGGAACGAATTAAGTTCATAAACCGAGGTTCCACTGTATTTGTTTTACTCCTTCAAGATCCGTAAGAAACAGCTCCCTATAAAAAGATCCTAAGGAAATCTATGGTCCTCCATGTTACTGAACTACAGCTCCCATCATTCCTTTCTACTAACCATACTGCAGAGCAGTGTTTCTCAACCTTGGCAACTTTCAGACATGTGGACTTCAACTCCCAGAATTCCCCAGTCACCAATATTCTGGGAGTTGAAGTCCACACATCTTAGCTGCCAAGTTTGAGAAACACTGTGGTAGAGTTATAGTTCAGCAACATCTGGAGATTGCAAGATCCCATCTTTGTTTATAAATGTTAGCACTACATGGAAATTCTGTTTCCCATCATCAAAGGAAAGCCTAGCATTCTGACTTCCATGCTACAATACGTAACCCTCCAATTAAAATATCCTGTACCTGTTGATACTCCTTCTTCTGAGCATCAAGTTCCACCTGCCGCTGCTTAAGCTCTTGGTGCTCCTGGTGAAGCTGCTCTGCTCGTCGGCTTAACTCCTCCTCTTGGGCCCTGAGCTCTGCCTCAAAGCGCTGGAGCTCCGCCTCCGAGTAGATCTGGGTTTCTTCCACTGTCTAGATAGGGGGAAAAAGGAGAGACTACTGCCTTGAGACGTGCAAAAATACCAAATCTGGGAGCCAACATAGCATAGAAATATTTCTGGGCAGAGAAACTTGTGACAGGATTCTGTGACCCTCAATGCAGCTCTTTACAAATCACATGGTTGTTAAGTGAATCCAGCTTCCCCAATGGACATTTTTTTGCCAGAATTCACTTAATGACCACATGATTTGCTTAATGGCCACAGTGATTCACTTTATAACTATTGTAAAAAAGGTAGCAAATTACGACCACATGACCACAGGGGGTGGTCCAATGGTTTACGATGGTTGTAAGTGTGAGTACAGGTTGTAAAGCACTTTTTCTGAGGCTACTGTAACTTTGAACTGTCATTAAACGAACAGTTGTTAAGCAAGGACTATGGGAGGGCGGAGCTGGCGTCGCGGCGATACGGCGGGCGATCCTGGGCTCCCAGGATGGCAGCCGATATCTCCTCGCCCGGACGGTCCCGATGGACCTAAGCCGTCCCGTAGAGATGGCGAACGCAAAGGGCGCGTCCCGC